CACAGCTTAGATTCTGATCTTTTCTTATATCCTTACCATAGCTATTTAACAGAGTAGAGATGATGATTCTTGCTTTTTTATAATTATCATTAGGGATATAAAATCAAAGTAGGATCATTTCTCTCCAAATTAAGGCATAATAAATCTATTCATACAACATGATTTGTAAAATGTCACTTTATAATTCAGAATCAAGGGAAAAGAAGAAAACAATGGTACATAGCCTTCAAAAAGTGTGTTCACTACAAACTGAAAACCAGAGAAATATACTTCTTTTAAAGGTTTTTAAAAACTTTTTAGAATATTCATCAAATGATTCTTATGCACTTAGCACTCAGTTTGTTTTACCTGCCTTAAATATTGCTTGACAATAAATACTAGTTCTTAGGATTCAGGGCAATGAATAAAGCACTTACATTGTAAAAAATTACAATAATATAATTTAAAATAAAATGAGAATAACAAGTCAATCAGTAAGATTACAGAGCTAAATATCAAACAAGTGACTCATGTGTAGAGACCTTCTTCCACCTGTATTCCTAGGTTTGTAGCTCACAGGCACTTTTTCCTGACAACCTGACATGACAGATCTTTCCAAGCTACATCCATCACCTGTCTACTGGCCAATGGAATCCACGTCTGTACAGCTAAACTAATGCCACCGGATGTCCTGCAAAGTCAGGAGCAAGTCTGCTTTTAAATTCAGAAATAAATCATTTTCAACATCATTGCCAATCAACTCATTGACTTCATGAATTGTCCTCTCTCTTACTAAAGGCTTTGAAACTCCAGAAAGGTTTTATCCTACAATAGGTGATGAGAAACATAACTTGCATACCAGTTGTAAGAAATGAAGAGGGGCAAAAGTTTTGGAGGCATGAACTAATCAATGCCATGTAGTTTCTTTAGCTTTTATAATTATGAAAGAAATCATTCCTGAGCATATTAAAACACACCATGCAGCAGCAGCAAAGCTCTAGCCTAATTTGTGTTCTCAAATGTAAAGGAATGACGCATTCTCAAATCTAAAGGAATGACACATTCTCTGTGATCAGGTAAGGGATGAAGGTACACACTTCATACAATTTTTTAAGCTGCAATTTTTTAAAAAGAAGTGATACCAGAGACCAGAGTCAAATAATCTAAAGTAGAATTATTTTAAAAGGAAACTTGGGGGCTGAGGTGTAGCTCAGTTGGCAGAACACTTCAGAAGCATGTCAGAGGTTGGGTTCCAAACTAGTACCCCTCTCCTAAAAAAAGAGAAAGAAAGAAAAAAATGTTGTTGCCTCACATAATCAAAATGCTAGCAAGCTTCCTAATTTTGAAGTGCTATGGACATGATCACATGAAATATTGGCAATTTTTACAGATCACAAACTGAAATTTTCCAACAAGCCTATTTAAGTTTTTATGATACTAAGATAATAGACTTATTTCAAGATATCTATTTAGGACTAATGGTTATTGCAATAAATTTGTATTTTTATGAACCATGATCATTTAGTTAGGCTCACAAAAGGTTCTAAATTTCAAACTTTAAAAATGCTGGAGACAGAAAGGCATAAGAAATATCTATTTTTTTTCCAGGTTCTATGGGTTCCTTCAGGCAGAAGAATTCAATTCATAGCATGCTTCCAGGATACTATAAGGTAGCTTAAAGCTGGCCATATGGACCCTAGTTATGAGCAATACAAGGAGAAAAGACAATTATTGGCACCAGAATTGCCATCATGAGGTATTATAAATAATATCAAAAGATTGGGTCAGTGCTCTGAGGGTTTTAATTGTCTTCAACATCAGCGATTGCCTAAAAAATTATGCTTAACAAATCATTTGTCTCAACATAGAAAAAAGTTTATGCTTCTCTGTAATTAAAGAAATGATAAGTTTTTTAAATGGAGAGCAATATTTATTTTACATCCACCATCTGCTTTTAATGTATATATCTTACAAATAAAAATACTATACCTTTTACAAAACAAAAAGAATGACAAAAGAAAAAGAAAGAACCTCAAACAGGAGTTGGAAACTCAACTGATTCAGCACAGCTTTGCAGTGTCACATAAAAAGTCTATGTAGAAAGCTGCATGAGACTGTAAAAACTTCTGTTTATGGACTTTGATCCAACCTGCCATAAACTATTCCTCACTTAGTATCTTCTATTTCATTATATGCCAAATATTCTCAGGCTTTTGCCTGGTACAAACAAAGCAATAAAATTTAACCATCTCACTATTATAATACTAAATGACCTAAAAACATTACCCACAATCACTGAGCTGGTTAGTAACCAATGAAAGATAGCTTATTCTAACGTGCATCAAGAATAACTGTTAAGAGGCGTTAGCATCAAGAAGGCGACATTTGTAAATGCATGCACAGTAAAGTCCCCAATTAACACAGCATCTCAGGCCTGTAAGACTGCAAGTAATCTAGAATAAGGTGGGGTAGCTCACTAGAATCAAATTAATTTCTACATCAATACATTATGCTATGAATTTTCATGTGACACCCTTAAATTCGCATAAGCAGGTTTTGACTACTGGAAGGAACTGCTTCTATACTAGAAGCTATAGCTTTTAATGAGGTACTTAGCTCTGCACTTGAAGATAAAATATAGAAAATAATGAAGTATAGCAGCCTAACTGCTTTCCAGGTCCACCAAAATTCACAGGTGTTTTTGAGAATTTAGGAATGCCAGAACTTTCATCACTGAGTGCAGATCACTCAGGTCTGGGGATAGGATAGAAAAGCATGCCTGAATGGCAAATACAAGAAACAATGTAGAAATAGTTCCACCAGCAAGCCCTATTACTGGTGCAAATGCACAATCTAAGTGAATTCAAAAGTCACTGTAAATTTTAAAATATGCCACATGCCTCTACAGAACTATTCTGTGTCTTGCCTTTTCTAAATCACATACAGTATTCGTCTTACACTTACAATGCCTAACAAAGTGATACTTTTAATTTTTAAAAAACAGGGCTATAAAGTTAAGATGTATACAATAAATTTTTATCACTATAATGCGACCACACTGGGCTTAGTAGTCTGACATTTTTATAACCAACTGATGTCCACCTTCTTACTCTTATTTAAAAATCTCCAGTTAATGCCACCAGTATAAAGCCAAACTGGAATGTTATTTCATGAAGGCCCTCTGGATGCACAAAAATTCTGAGATTATATTCTTTACACTGACATCTCCAGCACTTTATAACTCCTAAACTTGAGGGCCTGCACCACACTCACTACTCAAACATTTTACACTTTCGTTTTCCAAGTTGTACTCAACATAGTCTTCTCTTAACACGACCCCCCCAAAGTGTTCAACCTATGCCAATCATCATAACTAAAAACTGTAATTGAAAAACAAATCTTTGGATCATCTAAATTTTGTAGTTAGCACTGTCATTTTAAGAACTGGGATTTAATCCTATGCTACATGGAGAAGAATAGGAAAAGAAATGTAACTTAACTCTGTTTTCCATAAAATGTTGCTACATTTTCAAAGTTTTGGTAGGTTCTGACAGTATTCTTACTAGTGAGCACTATCACTGCATTGTCCCAAGTTTTTGACTTTAAAGGGAAGTTTATGCAGATTTATTGGACAAGACCCCTCCAGCACATGTTAAAGCTCAGCCTAGTTCTCTGCCTCCTCCGTTCTCTGTGCCCAATTCAATGACTGCAGAAGGGTGGGAGTGTAGAGGATTGAAAAGACACTGGTGACAGATGGCCTCAGTAGCAGGTGACCCCTGAAAACTGTTGGCTCACAGCAATGGATTCTAGACCCAGATGGCCTTAGTGCCTCACCTCAGACCCGCAGAAAAGTGCTGTTCAAAAAGATCACTTTCAGAAAGAGCACTTTCCTTCCAGAGCTATCCTCTGACCCCTCTGGATTTTGAAGGAGGAAGGCTAAAGCAGGAAAGATGACTTATAAAGGTGGGGTGAGTACTTAAAGAGAGGAGTATTAGATTTGTCCCTGAGCCCTCTTCTGTCAAAAGACCTCCCAAATCGCCACCAAGTCTGAACGTTTCTAGGAAAAACAAGATTAAAAGGGCCCAAGTAATAGATGTGCAAGAAAGTAGAGAGAGACAAGTGACCGTCGGTTTTCAATGAGGCATCTCCCGCAGGTGTGAGGGGCACTATGGGACTCAGGCTGGGGAATCGCGCCCCAGGGAAAGTGGAGGGAGGGATGCTGAAAGAAATACCTCGTTTTCTTTCCAAAGGGCAACATTGCAAACGTGGGCGGGGGGTCCTTTCCGAACCCGGCTGAGGCTGGAATCAGGAGGCTCCAGCAGTGAAGTCGCTCCCGGGTGAGGTCAGCGCAGGACCCGCTGCCCAAGGCCCTAGCCCCGCGCTCCAGCGGGTCGCAGCCTGCTGGCCCCGCGCTGCGTCGCCCCCTGGCAAGCGCCCGACAAAGCCGCGGCCACGCGCGGGAGAGTGGGAGCCAGGCGCCCAGTCCCGGCCTCCTCCACCTTCACCGTCCTGGACACCGCAGCCCTCCAAGCCAAGGCGGCCGGCACAGCTGTGCAACGGCCACCGCCGGCGGGGCTCGGGCCCCTTCTCCAAAGGCAGCCTTAGTGTGCGGCAGACCCTGGCCGCGACCGACCCCGCACCGACTCCGACGCCTCTCAGGAATCCACGCGCCAGGCACTTCTCCCCGCTCTTGTCCGAGCTCCGGTCCCAGTTCGTCCCCAACCGTAAGGCAAGCTGTTCCCACGCGGGTCCAGACTGCCCGCCCCGCAGCCGCCTCCTAAAGCACAGGCTCCTGCCCCCGCCCCCGCAACGGCCGCCCGGGGCTTGGCTCAGGACCAGGAAGCGCTGGCCTCGGGTCTAGCGGGACCCGCCAGCCCCTGGGGTCGCTCACCATGGCGCCTCCCTTGCGCTCTTTGTGTGCGCCCCGCAACCCGGGCAGAACTTTCCTTTCCGCACTGCCATAGTGAAAGGAAGCGCGGGACAATCGAGGGACTGGAAGGGACAGAAGAGGACACACTCACTCTGCAAAGACTCCGGCATGTTGCTGCCCTAGGGCTTCCTCGCCGCCCAGCCCTGCCCGGCTTCCCCGCCCGCCAGGGTCAGCGCGAGGGGGGCCAGGGGAGGAGCGGAGTCACCCGGACCCCGCTGGCCACGGCGCTTCCGGAGCTGCAGGGAAGGGGCTCGGACGCTGTTTTGGTTTTGCTAAGCGGGCTTAGGGACCCGGGAGGTAAAGGGGCCGGAAGGAGCGCGGGTGTGCGAAAGGAATTTTGCTTCTGGGGAATGCGGAGACCGGAGTCGCACGCACATTTTTGTATTTGAACTTTGTAAGCTGGCTTGGACCCGACGCTAGAGTTTTGCGACTGCGCTGGCTTCAAGTGGAGGACTCTGCCCCACACAACCCCGAGACCTACTTCAAAGCCAAGGGGCCTGGAGACAGGGTTTGTTTTATGGTAAACGGAAGGGAATTCAACAGAGGCAGAGATTAGCCCTGAGTTGCGCTCCAGCCCCCGTGTTGTCAGTGGTCCTCTTCTTACCTGGTGGCTTTCCTAACAAAGTAAGAGAAGGTGAAGTCCCAGTGATCATCCAACCAGGCTTCCACCGAGTCGGGTTCTGCTGCTGCCACGGCCGCCTGACGCTGGGGCCGGCCGGGTCCATGGTCTGCGCCGCGCGCCTCTGCGGCTGGCGGTGCGGATTTCCACCCCGCCAGGGTCTCTTGCTCGCTGGAAGCGCGGGACAGAGACCGAGACCCTCCCCTTTCCCTGCTGCAGTCCCGCAGGCTTTCAGCCAAGGGCCTGGCTCGGTCCGGCCTCCCCTCGCCCCGCCCACCCCGCCCGGCCTCCTAGCTCCAGGCTCCCGGGTTCCAGGTGTGGCAGTCAGGGTGGCGCTGCAGCGCCCTGCTTGGTGTCTGGAGAGTCTTCTCAAAGTTCCTTCCGAAGCAGCCTCGGGGCGATAGACGAACTCAATGCAAACCAAGTGGGCACCTCCAGAAGGAAGTCAGGCGGCCGCTGGGATGCGCTGTGTGTGGAGCCCCCTGAGGAGCTTACTCAAAGGTGACTGGGTGTGATCAGAAGATCCCATTATAGGAAAGGGAAGGTTACAATGAATGGAACCCAACTCAAGCCTAGAAGGCAGAAGATAAGGAAGTTTCACCTGAAAGTGAGAGATGATGCTAACCTAATGCTTGTCCTTGCTCCTGGGAGTGCAATGACTTCCGCCTCCTTCTCTCCATACAAGTGTTTGGTCCAGGAGAACCAGGACCAACTTCCCTTGGAACCTAGTCTACGCCCTGGCCCCTCAGTCACCCGCCATGTCTGGGCTGGAGAATTGAAGCTTTTGCCCTCAAGAGAGGATTGTGGGCGTAGATGTGTAATTTCCAGCAGGACGACCCGTGCTTCATGTTAACAATAGTCAAGAATTAAATGTCTTTAACCATTGCACCCCACACCTTTCTTAACTGGAAAAAAAGGATTTTCTGGAAAAAGAAAAAGGCAAACAATCACGATGCTTTGCCATATGAAGGTAGAAAACAAGGGCACCTCTGAACAATTAGGTTAATTTGATAGCACCAGCATTAGCTACCAGGTTCAGTCCAGAGCAACCAGTTAGCCCAATTTTAAATTAATTCATCATTTTTATGTACTGGAATTAACAACCCCCTAGAAGTATCCACTAAAAAGGGCTCAGTCTTCCAACCCTATTTTGTCCACACCCTTATAAGTTGCAAAAATAAAAGAAAAAAAAAGAGTTGATTTCCTCTTCATGTCTCTGTCCCACAATTGCAATTTTAATATGGCATTTGCAGTGACCTAATTTTTCTTGGCAGACTTAAATCTGGAGTTGTATGTTGCACAATGTGTGAATGACACCGTTAGCAGTGATATACCAGAAGTGATTTAGCTGACATACTTTTAACAAAGTACACTTGGAGAAAGAATGTAAGACATTTAGATAATTAAATGATATGGGAGCCTTAAGCAATGTCTTCCAGTCCCCCATGCAATGGCTTATTTTCCTGCATTGAGTAATTGTCCTTTTGTAATTTCAGTTCCTCTGAAACTTTACCTTTGTGCCCAAGTAGCCACAACCAATATAACAGAAGCAAATCAGTAGAGCCGAAGTAAAGCAGGGTAAATTAGATTTTAAAGCAAGAGTTCTCTCCAGATATGCTACTATAATGGTGATCAGAATGCTGGGAGAATGGACTTTCTCTACAGTGATCTTCTACCTCCCCCCATGCACTCCTCCTAACAGGAGGTCAAATAATTTAAGACCAGACTTAACAGACTAAAGATACAGAGTGAATTTTTTGGCTTCAATGTTTGTGTCCCCTTCCAAAGTTCATGTTGAAACTTAATGCCCAATGCAACAGTATTAAAAGGTGGGATCTTTAGGAAGTAATTAGACCACTGAGTTCTTTCTCATGAATGGGTTAGGCCACAGAAATGGGCTGGAGGGGACCAAGTTTGCCCCTTCTAACCTCTCTACCATGGGAGGACAAGGTGTTAGTCCTATGGAGGATGTAGCAACAAGGAGGAAAACGTCACATGTATTGTGCCTTGATCTTGGATTTACCAGCCTCTAAATCTGCAAGAAATTAATTTCTGTTGTTGATATATACCTACTCTTCCATATTTTGTTAGAGCAGCACTACAGACCAAGATAATGGGCAATATTAAATGGCCATTTTCTCTAACTTAAAAGAGTTAAAATATCAGAAACCAGTAAGGTTTTTGGATAATTGCTGCAAGAAAAACAATCCATGGATTCTCTCATCACTGAATCCCAATTTTGAATGGTGTAAGCAGTCGAATGAATTTACTGTGAAGGCCTATTACCCAAAAAACATGTCGCAAGGTGCTCAAAAGCAGGAGTGTTTTGAACTGTTCTAGTTTCTAGGAAACTCAGATAAAATCTGTAGCAATATCTCTTGTCAGCTTAAGTATATAGCTTTAAGGGAGAAGGGGGGAGAAATGACCCAAACATTGTATGCACATATGAATAAAAAAAATTAAAAAAGGAAAAAAAGTATGTAGCTTTAAGTCTTTACTTAAAGAGAAGCATATTTTGAACTGGCCTTACCTTGGCCTCTTCTAGTCCTACTTCACTCTTTTTCCCAATATGCACAAATATCTTATATGTTAACTTGTTGGAATCCATTGCTGTAAACATCTCAAATCATCTTTTGAAATGAGTTTAAGTAAACATCATTGGAAAATAACTTTTAAAATGTGGTAATGCTATTTCTAACAAACAAATGTGGAACAACAGAAAGACCTCCAATGTACTATATTCCCATTGTATTGGACTGAGATTCAAGCTCCCTAATATGGGGTGTCAGTAAGCATTCCATTAGTGTAATATCTGAAATAACCACCTCAAAAATTGAAGGGGTTTATTTTTGGCTCACAGTTTTGGAAGTTTTAGTTTATGAACAATTGGCTCCATTGTGTGTGTGCTGTGGCTGCACAGTACACACTGGTGGAATTGCATGGCAGAGGGAATTCTTGCTCATGAGGAACAAAAATGAAGAAATCAGCATCCATACTCCCCTGCAGGAGACTAAAACCTCTCACTAGATCCCATGTCTTCAAGGGTTCTACCACCAGCCAAACACAAGAAGTTGGGGACCGAGCATTTAACGCATAGACAGACTCTTCCTATATAGCCCAGGCTGGCCTGGGACTCAGGGCCCTTCCACCTCTGCCTGCTAAGCATACATGACATTTTAACAGAATGTACAGAGAAGCACACAACACCACTTCTGTGTTACCGCTACCAAAAACATAAAATCTAATCATGAGGAAATAGAACATGTCCAGACTGACGGCTTTTTTACAAAATAATGGGCCAATGTGCTTCAAACTTTCAAGAACAAGAGAGATAAAGGGAGGCCGAGAGGCTGTTGTGTATTCAGTATTTATTGCTATGCAACAATCTGACCACTAGCTTAGTGACTTAAAGCCACACTCATTGATTATCTCCCAGTTTCTGTGAATGAGGAGTCCAGGATAGCTTAACTGGAGCCCCTGCTCATGGGCATCTATGATGCTGCAGTGAAGATGTCAGCCAGGACTGTGGTCTCAGCTAAGGCTCACTGGCAAAGGAGCCACTTCCAAGCTCTCTGAGGCTGTTGGCAAAATTCAGTTCTTTGTGACTGCAGAACTGAGGCATTTTATTACTGGGTTTGCACTGTTATGCAGGCTGCTCTCAGTTTCTGAAACCACCTGTAATTCTTTACTACGTGGAATTCCCCAACATGGCCACTAGTTTCCTCATAGCCAGCAAGGAAGAGGAGTCCAGAAAGGTGAACCCTATAATTTCATGTAACACAATCATACAATCATGTACAAGTAGTCACACACATCCCATCACTTTTACCATATTCCATTTTTTAGAAGCAAGTCAAGTCCTGCCTTCACACAAGAAGAGAGGATCATATGAGGGTGGGAATCACAGTGGCCACATCAAAAGTGTGAATAACACTGTGTCATAAGCACAGGACTGGGACAAAGCACGTTTTAGTTGATGTTTGTTGGGCCGATGTAAAAGGAAATGTGGGTCTTCTCTCACCTCATTAGATCTGTGGTGTTGTATAAAATAAGTCCATCATTAATCGTGGTTGTTTCTTCTCATGGTTTAGTGAGTCTTACCACACTTAGTAAGACAACATCTTACACTTAGCAGACTAGGCTTAAGTATCATTTTTCTGTTGATAGTTCTAGAGTACATATTCCAAGTTGTTACACATGAGGTCAGTTATCAGCCAACATTTTACCTGTGGTCTAATATTTTAGATGTGTGTGAATTTAAGTCAGATCCTGCTTCTCAATTTAAGGGACAAAGCTAACTGATGAGTAATAGTACTGCTATAATGTAGCGATTTGATGGTGTGCAAAAATTCTCTTTCCCAAATCAAATATAGGATTTTATACCCAAAATCTCTTGTAGCAGCCAAGAATTCAGTTTGATATAAAAAGGCTGATCCAGTGAAAGTTCTTACTCAGAGGATGGTGAGCACTGCTCTTCATATTACGGGGTCACACGTAGAGGAAATAAACTTACATTAAACACTGGTGGATTGGACAGATATACACTTTTCCTACAAACGGATGC